AGAATACTATTAATATGAGGTTACCTATGTGAGTGTGAAGTGTGGCCGCTTCAATGAGAATTATTCAAGACTTAAATTCTCTAAACACTTGCAGAACCAAGAAGGGTTCAGGGCCAAAATGAACCAAGTTATGAGAACCATGAACGGTTTAGGAAAGACATTGTGTGAGTATCGTTGTCTTGGCTTACACTAAAGGCTGAATGGTTCAAGACATTACGTTCACCAATTAGCCGAGTAAGTCCGATGGTATTTCACTAAGGGAGGTTCAAGGCCAGAAGTTATCTTCCCTGATGCAGTGTTTTTTTGCACCCTCTCTACATTGCATCATATCATCGCATTTGCATATGCGTACCCAATTTTTATTCATGTGGGAGATTTTAGGAATTGGTTCAAATAATTAACCAAAAATTGGAAAATGAAAAGGTGTGTAAAAGTGGAAAATGAAAAGGTGTGACAATGTGTCAATTTCGACCAAATACTTGGACTTGATCCGATGGTCAAATTATAAAAGTAAATAGACTAACTTATTTTACTCGTATATTTGGAATCTTGAAACCAATTCCGGATGAATGAGAAATTGTGGACCAAAGTTAGAAAAAATGAAGTGTTGCAACTTTTCGAAAGGATGCAGGTTTTGACCAAGTGTTGCAACTTTTTGAAATGATGCATGTTTTGGCCCACATTATTTCATTTGCACCATTTTTACATCTATAAATAGAACCATATGAACATGATTTTGGGTACACCAATTGCATTGAGTATTCATTCTCCTCTTGTAATTCTCTCATTTCTAAGTCCATAGCATTTTCATGCATTTACTTCTGGTCGGAGTCATTTGGAGTGCTCCTATGGCTTAACGTGGTCGTTGTATCTTGGGAGATGATTGTCGAAAAATCGTTAGCACCGATGCGGGACAAATTCATCTTAAGGACCAAGTGTCAAACACTTGCTTTGACCAAGAATTCATCGCTTACATCTTTCTTCCTACAGTTTTCTGATTTCTTTTGATTATATTTTGATTTCAGGAAATAATTAACATTATTTACATGTTTATGTTGCAAGGTTCATTCAAGAATTGAAAGAGATGAATCCATATCCATGCATTCAAATTCATTAACTTTTACATTTTGCTTCTCAAATCCTATTTCGGTAAGTCGAAATTACGTTTCGATTTCACGCAAATAACCGGTATGCTTTTGTGAATATAATATGCACGTAATCGGTGTAAATTTCTCCAACAGAACTAACTTCTGAATGTAATTGGACCAAATCAAATTGAGTTCAATCCAATTTTTCCTGATCCATTTTAAAATATTTTTTCCTGATAAATAGGGGAAATTCTTCACTTTCGCATTCAGGCGATACATCATGCATGAGTTAGTGAAATGAAATGGATGTGAACCCATACAAAATCAATATTTAAATGACCAATTAAATAAATTACTGCACATGCAAATTGCGATAGTGCTCCAAACAAAATTTCAACTTTCTCGCGCTTTTAAAAGCAAAGTGTGACCCTCTGTCTATCAAATGGCATGCGCTGATAGAACACAACCAAGTCACTGTAGATGAAAATTTGTTTCAAAAGCTCTATAAATTATATACACACATTGATCCAGAATGTCATTTGACTTATTACTCTTCCCAGTTCAAATATAAAAAAATCAAAATCAAAACAATCTTTTGAATAAATTATGATTTATTTCTCTAAAAGGAAACAAGCAACCAAAGGCAGTATATTTTACCTGGTTAACATCATGGATTCACTGAGTTGGAATTCTAATGTTAGCCCAATTCAATCTTATAAAAGTGAAAAAGAAAGAAGTGCGATAATTTCATAGGTAGAAAAGAAAATGAAGGAAAATGGAAAATTTTGAAAATTGTCAATTCAACAAGTCAAGATGGAACCAAAACGCTACTCCAAGAACCACCCAACCACACCCACTTGGATGAAAAGTGTATATATAATTATTTATTGTTGTCGTTTTTCCAACCCATCAAAGAGCCAATATGTCATATCACACACCATTATTAAACAAGAGAAGAGTGTGACCCGACCCGGCCCACATTAGATATGAGATCAGATGAGTGTCTAATTTCAATACGGGTTCATATTTTTGGGTTTTGGAATGTTGTGTTGTGTGCTGTAGATGGACTTAGTCCATGCCACCATCTTCGATGCTCTTTGCACGTTTCGACCTTTAACTTGACATGCTACTTGGAAATTAAGAATTCACAAAAAGTGAGACAATACAAAAAGTCCGAATAGAAAAACAGGGATGATAGTTATATGTTGAATTTAAACGTTATAACACTATTTTATTATCAATTCTTAAATTGAAATAATTTTAAATTATTAAGTCGTGCACATTTCAACAAGAATGTTGACACCGCACTAGTGTCAACGACAATGCGAATCTAGAATGTCGTCAACAATAAACAAAGACACTGAACTTTGAGCTTCTCCATTTATTCAGAAGATTTGTCATCTAACTCGGAAGTTTTAAAAGGTGGAAAGGGGATTTTGATACTTACATAGTAAACTTGAACCAAAAATAGCAGTGGAAAACTATAATCATTATTAATCAGACTGTATACATACATAATTTACATATAAAATTCAAGAGCTGTAGCCGAGACCATCACTCATCATTCAACATTATATCTATTATATTATTCCAGAAAAGGACGTGAGGTTCAACTTCGGTTCAACCTAAGTGAGGTAAGGTTAGTTTTCGTTGAATGTGTTGGCCCCTTTTCTTGTAGTTCCAAAACCATTGAAGGGTCCTAAAATGAGAATGTGTGTTTGAGAGAGGGAAAGGGGCAAGAGACTGTAATTCCAGTATCGATATTATGGTCCACTTAAAAAGATTCAAATATAGTAGAAGATGTAAGAGAACAAATTATGAACTGTGTACAGGTTTCAGAAGCTCAAATGAATCACAAGAATGATTGACAAAAGTCAGCAGATATAGAAACCATATGCACCAGATGTATCAAATTATATAACTACAGAAACCTGTATTTCCTGCCATAATCTTCAATTTATAACCATCTGGGACTTCAAACACACGATTGCCCTGCATAGTAGAATAAACAGAAAGAAGGAAATCAGAATTTTATGATAGTAGATGACCACTTGGCAACTTCTTTTGTGATTGGGGAAAAAAAAGGATGTTCTTAGATTTCCTTGCAGATCAAACAAACTTTTTAAATACTTGTTAACGATCAAAAATTGCAGTTATTTGTTCTGCATCTGTTCTGATTCAGTTTCGAGCCAATGACACTTAGTAATTTATAAACTTCGGAGTACAGTAACGTTTATGACGACTTCATATATCTGTCACACAGTTTGAATTTTAGAAGAATGTAGAATGTATCTTAGTTCTTTACCCAATTCTTCATGAGTAAAACAGCCCTATTGCTCGGATGGAAAACTAATTTATAGGAGAGAGTTGTACAAATTAGTCATGCACATGCACTAGATTCAGAGACAATGTTGTCCCAATCCTGTTCTCTATTGTTCATATATGATGCAACACCGGAGACAAAAGGAACGAAAGAAACAGAAACAAATAGAAACCTCAATAAAACAGAACATTTAAAGGCAAACAGCTTACAATCTAACTTAGTTTACGTGGAACTTCATATGACCTAAACCGGGAGACAAAATTTGACATAGCCTACGTGCTAGTTTGATAAAATTGGATACAAATGACATGGACGATCCCTAAAAACCATAGTTAATCCCTCACACGGCATATCCACGTCTACAATATTTGGCATGTAGGTCTAAAAATAAGGAATTATGCTGTATGTACAAACTGGGGATCATCCCATGTGATGTGGTAGGTAATGTGGGGTGAATGATAAGGCCAATTAAATGTGTGGATATGAAATCCACTTTATTGGCCTTATCATTTAATACCACTTCGCATAGGGATCATTCCCAGTTTTTATAAATAGCATTAGTCAAAAATAACATCCAACATATCTATCTAACGCCTTTTACGATCTCACTTTGTCACCAAATATTAAAAGGGAACAATTGTGCACCTTTTTACTGTGTATCCCATCATTTTGTTCCAAGTGATGGAATTGATTTTGCACTTTTCACAATATGTATTATCTCTCAAGCAAGAAGCTTAACCTATCCACAGTAGTTAGTAATATAGCTTCCACACTAAAACCAGTATTACAACATTGGTAGCCTCAAATTCAGCATTTCTGTGCGGTATCACCTTTGATGCCTCGAACCACTGTCATCGTGCTTCCAAGTTTAGGGTTTAGAAATGAATATTTTAGGCACAAAAGTAGCAGCCTCAAACTGAGATCAAATCATGTAATTATGAGAAAACATTTCATTATTGCATTAGGCAACACCTCCTACATATTTCTCACAAATAAATAATTATTATCTACTTAAACATGTATGCAACATTTCTATGCTTTTCGGTACCACAATCACATACGGCACACTTACATAGTAAACTCCCTAGCCCAAAAGGGAAATAAATATGTGACAAAAAAAAATTTTTTTTTTTTTTTTTTGGTTCTATCGCTAAAACTACAAAACAAGATTAAATGAAATCAACTAATCTCATCTTGTATATGGTCTTAAGTTCATCAATGGCTTAAGCAAAAGGATCAGGACCTGGGGCGGAAGACCTGTTTACATGTTGATGGTAAAAAGATTCTCTAATAATTTCTTCTCTCTTGCACCCACTTTAACGCTTAGTGCACCCAAATATAGAATCCCGACGAGCTTAATATGTCTAAATTCGATCATTTCAGATATCTCCTTTGTTCATAAGTAGGCACTATAACACACTTTTTAATTCTCATCTGAATAAAAAATTAAATAAGTATAATAACAATATGACAGTGAGATTGCTAACGCATTATTCAAAATAGTAATGCCAAGTCATAGCTTGTACCTCTGTTTAATTCCAAATTCGTCAAGAAATGTAATTGGCTTTTTTTTTTCTTTTTTTTTTTTTACGTTAAGCACCATGCCCGGCAAACTACTCTGTCTACTCGCATCTTTCCTCTATCCAATAAGCTCTGCCAAAGGCAAATCCACGCAAAGGATAACATGTTTCAAGTAAGAAATTCCAACAATAATATGCTTTTAAGGGAACAATTAAAAGAGATTATGCTTAAAACCATACCAAGCATAGAGAGATGTAGTGACAAATGAGACTGAATGGTATTTTCTGTTGACTTTGCTTTCGATACTTAAAAATGTTAGCGAATGAATTTCGTAAGCTACAGCTTCTTATTACTGCAAAATGCTGGATAACAAAGATGTAAATGTAGAAAGGGATTTTTTATGGCCGAAAAATAGAGAGTTTGAGGGTTTAAAATTTAAGGTGAATAGAGTATTGTTATGGTGTCGCACCGGAGTAGAGTTGCCTCGCGCAATTGGAAGCACAGAATTGCACCTTCAGTGTTGGCAAATAGTTAAAATTTGGGCTGCTGCACCATTTCTTTAGGGGGAACAATACACAAGACTAGTATGTGGCATTTCAAATTTAAGAAACATGCCATTATATTTCAAATTTCAGGTCATAAATGATTATATATTATGTTACGCCCCTATCTGAACCGCTTCGGAATGTCAACCACTACACATTCCGACCTGATAGACACTCATTCGAAGTGTTTCTGAAGTGATCTCACCAATGTTAACGACCTGGTAGCACACTGCGAGATATAGGCGATCCGGCTGAACTGACCGAAGCTTCCTCGCCCCTGAGGCCGAGGCCAAGTGGACCTCTGTCACAAGATCCGCCGCCAATTTCAAAAAGAGATTTTTGTCAAGATCCTCTCTGCACCTAAGGTTTAAATTGATTTGACGTCTCTATGAAGCTAGTTGATGTGACTTATGTCAACTCAACTCAGGAGAAACAAACTGTCCGTCCACTCTACAAACGCTGCTGATTGACACTTATGAGCAGATGTCTCATACCGTCAGATGTATACATGTGTCCCACATCCAACGGTTCATCCCACCTATAAATACTCAAGGTTTGGCAAGAGGTAAAGGTAATGAAACTCTTACTATATAGCACTCCATAACAAATTTATATATTTTCTCCTCCCCCTTAGTGTTTTTGGACACAACCTCTGGGTACTGTTCCAACCATCCGAATCTGACTTGATCGTCGGAGTGTATACGGCCGTCGCCACCCCCACTGGTCCCGGTCGTGTGCGTCTGACCGTGCGTTGATTGTGTGCAGGAAGAATACGTGGAGTAGCTATCGGTTGGCCACGTGGAAGGTCCAATTTTCGAGGTCAACAGATTGGCGCTGTCTGTAGGAAACACTTCCCGTTCAAAGTTCTGCATTCTCCACCGAAGAAGTTACCGAAAAACTAACGACTAACCCTGAAAAGGGCACGTTCTTGAAAAAGAGCAAAGTCGAGTTACAATTCAAGTTCTCACCACCCTTGAAAAAGGAGATAGGATGAGCTATAGCCATAAAAACGACAACCCCATGAGAGAGGCCTCTGAAGAAGAGGTGCTCCATAACAATGTTATTCATCAGAGACCCCATCATCGGCGTCGCCGAGGTGGAAGAACAAACATGCTCACTGAAGGAATGACTCAAATAGCTGCAGGTATGAGAGACATCGCAGCTCAGAATATGGCAATGAATGAACTCCTCATGCAAGCCCAGGGTCATCAGGGCTATCAAATGCCCCAAGGATCTTATCTGGTGCAGGAAGCCCTTGTATCTCACTCCCGAGGCCATATGAGCCGGCACACAGAATGCCCCCTCAAAAGAGAGATGAATGCCGAAGCCACATTTTATGTACAAGGGAGCCAGCCATCAAAACCACACTTGGAGGACAATTTCCCTCAAGAATACGGGGAACAAAGGTCAGCAAGCGTCTTCGACCGGATAGGGGAGGATCCTAGCAATAGAGTCCGTCCGGTGAGAAGATCAGTTCGGCCAGATCAGGAACAAGAGCAGGCTCCTTCTCCTCCTAGAAATAGGAGGGACAGGAGGAACCGAGTCGATTGGGGAAGTCGAAGAGAAGCACCTCCACCTCCCCAGAGCATTCAAAATGATGAAGGGTCAGATGGACCCTGTCGATCTTATAAGATTGACGATGATGATGATAACCTCCCTTTCTCAAGGGAGATCCGAAGCTTCCCAATGCCAGCAAATTTCATGCCCCCTAAGATCCCCAAGTATGAAGGAAAGGGGGACCCGGAGAAGCACCTTACCAAGTACATGACATAGATGAGCCTAAGGGGAGCCTCACCCGCTTTGAAATGTAGAGCCTTCCATTTAACACTAGGTGGAGCTGCCGAAGTGTGGTATAGCAGGCTTCCTCCCTTAAGCATTAGAAGTTGGCCAAATTTGAAGAAAGCATTCTTGAACCAATACCTCTCACGCAGAGAAGGAGAGGCACCAGTGCAACGCCTTCAAGATATGAGGCAGGCCCCTGGGGAGACGCTGAAAAGCTATCTCGCCAGGTTTACAGACGAAATCACCTACTGTGAACAGGTCACTGACAGAGAAGCCCTTTCAGCCTTGAAAGGTGGGCTTGACATGAACACTTTGTTCTGGAGGGACGTGTGCAGTAAGAATCCCTCCACCTATGACGCACTGGTGGAAATGATGAGAGTGGAAATTGTGAGTGAAGAAATGATTGATCATCGCAACCGTGCCGCGCAAGGACTCCCTCCGCCTCGGAGGCAGGTGGGTCGAGGACCCGCAGCACACCTTGTTACTCAGCAATGGACTCAAGCAGGTCATACAATAGCTCCCACCTCTGGACAGGCCCTGGCTTCCGCCACATTGAATGCAGTGCCAGTGTTAGCATATGAGAATGCTCCTGCCGAAGTGGGACCATCCGGAAGAGCTGATAACAAGAAGAAGAAAAGGTCAAACAGACCCTTGGAAGGGGCAAGGTTTTGTACGTTCCATCAACTCTATGGGCATGACACTAGTGAGTGTCGAGACGCCAATCGATGCACTGATCGAAGCAACCCACACCCTTCCAGTAGGAATGAATATCCTCGCAGATCCGCCTCCCCGAGCAGGGGGAAGAGAGGGCACAGAGAGCAATCACCTTGGAGAAGAGAATCAAGGGACCGAGGTCAATCTAGACAGAGAAACTAGGCCCCATTTTTTGGGAGCCAGGTTATCAGGAAAATCGATACCATCATTGGGGGACCCCACATCGGTGGCTATACCAGGAATGCCCAAAGGAATTATACAAGGGAAGCAAAGGACCCGCCAATGATCACTTACATTGTCAACGAGTCGCAAGCAGCCGATAGGATGGCCCCCATCACCTTTTCCCAGGAAGACGCAAAGGGGGTTCACCACCCCCATTGTGATGTATTGGTTGTAAGAGCCGTAGTGGCTAGAAACGGACTAAAACGAATGCTCATCGATAATGACAGTTCCGTGAACATATTGTTCGGTTCCACTTTTGACAAAATGCAAATTCAACATGGGTTGATCCCCATGACCGACCCACTATTCGGATTCACTGGGGACAGCATCATCCCACGAGGGTGGATCACTCTGCTCGTCAAAATGGTTCAGCACCTCTATTGGCCCAACACTTCATGGAATTTTTGGTGGTAGATCACAGATCGGCTTATCATGGAGTATTGGGCAGACCCGCTTTGAAAGATCTTTGGGCTGTCACGTCCATCTACTACTTGTGTATGAAATTTCCAACTGAACATGGGATTGCTACGGTCCGAGGTGATCAGATGGGCTCCAGGGCATGCTACTTAAACTCGCTGCGAAAATCGGAGCCCCGAACTGTTAATGTAATCCTAACTGAGGTTCCCGCTGAAATCAGTACGGACGTGAAAATGCTCGACGCCCCTGAACAAGGGCATACCTCTGAACAAGAAAAAGACGTCGACATGGAAGAGGCCCCTGAACAAGGGCACCCTCTTGATGAGTTAGATCCCTGAATAATTGACTCTGAACCAAATGCGACCCCAATGGAAGAATTGGAGACTTTCCCCGCCAACCTAGAAGACCCCAGCCAGGTCTTGCGTATAGGGAAGTCATTGTCCCCTGAAGTAAAAGTAGAGATGATAAGCTTCCTGAAAAGGAACTTAGACGTCTTCGCATGGAAGCATGAAGATATGTTGGGAATAGATCCTAGGATCAGTTGCCATCACCTTAACATCAACCCCTCCTGTGCCCCCATAGACAGAAGAGGCGTGCCCTTAATTCGGAAAGGTACGAGGTACTGAGAGACGAAGTGAACAAACTTAGCCACAGTGATTTCATAAGGGAGGCCATCTACCCGAAGTGGATATCCAACCCGGTCCTGGTGAAAAAGTCCAGCGGAAAGTGGAGGGTGTGCGTAGACTTCACAAATTTAAATAAGGCGCCTATAGACAGCTTCCCACTTCCAAGAATAGATCAACTTGTGGATTCTACTGCTGGACATGAACTACTGAGTTTCATGGGTGCATACTCAGGGTATAACCAGATACCCATGTTCCGACCTGATGAGGAAATTACATCGTTCATTATGGACAGAGGTCTATATTGCTACAAAGTCATGCCCTTCGGATTGAAAAATGCCGGAACTACATATCAGAGATTGGTCAACATGATGTTTGCCGAACTCATTGGCAAAACCATGGAGGTCTACGTGGACGACATGTTAGTCAAAAGCCTCCAAGCAGCCGAACACGTAAGTCACCTCGACCAAACTTTTCAGATACTTAGAAAGTATAATATGAAATTGAATCCCCTCAAGTGCACCTTCGGAGTGGCATCGGGTCAGTTCTTGGGGTATATTGTCAATCAAAGAGGAATTGAAGCAAATCCAGTGAAAATAATGGCCTTGCTAGAGATGAGGTCATCTCAGAAATCAAAGGAGGTCCAAAGCCTCAATGGTCGGATAGCCGCACTCAGTTGCTTCATCTCCAGGGCCACAGATAAAAGCTTACCTTTTTTCAATGTGCTGAAACAAGGAAAAAAATTCCAATGGACTTCGAAATGTGAGGAAGACTTCCAGGCGCTGAAAAAGCACCTCCAAGAGGCGTCCCTCTTGTCGAAACCTCAATCGAATGAGTCACTACTGTTGTTCTTAGCGATTTCGGACGTGGCGGTCAGCACCGTCCTAGTCAGAGAAGAAAGTGAGCGCCAGTTGCCAGTGTACTACGTCAGCAAAGCACTTCTCCCAACTGAAACATGCTACCTAGACATGGAGAAACTGGCACTTGCCCTTATCACGGCCTCAAGAAAACTGAGGCCGTACTTCTAGGCCTACTCAATTCAAGTTCTCACCAACTTCCCACTGAAGCAGGTGATGCAAAAAACAGACGCATTAGGACGCCTGCTAAAATAGGCAATCGAGCTCAGTGAGTTCGATCTAACGTTTCGACCTCGACATGCCATCAAGGGTCAGGCCCTTGTTGATTTTATGGTTGAGTTTGCCAAAGTCCCAGAAGTGGAGGCGATAATGGAACCAGTCAA